CCCCCCTCCCCCCCTCCAACGCCCATTCTCATTAAATGTGTATGTTAATTAGAGCACTGGACCAATTGTCACCTTTTTATCATTAGTGCACGCAGCCTGTCTACAAGGCCACGCGTGTTCGGTGCGCGCGTGCACCTATTAAGCGTACTCAGTAAGCATATCGATTGGTACTCAGCTCCCATATGAAATTGCCCAGATTGGCCAACTGACCCGATGCTTCTCATCACTGCCTTGAGCACGTGTTTTCTGAGCTTGTGCCACGCGCGCGTAGGCTGATGGAGGGACGCTAGTATGAGAATCAGCAGGCTTGCCAAAGTGTGAGTACACACTTAAATAAAGCCCCACTGTTTTCTTGTAATAGGTATTTATTCCACAAAATAGCTGCTCTCAAGTAATTATGCTCTAACCTCTGCTATCTCCCGCCGATGGGAAATGAAACTAGTTCTCTGGATAAGCAATATCCTGTTCTAGCTTTCGAAGCTTCTCCTAGACATTCGCAGACCGCTGAATCTCTCCCACACAGTCTTCCATTCTCTGTGCACCATGAAGGATATATCAGACGTCAAGAATCTTTACCTTCGGAAGCTGATTATACTGACTCTTCTGAAAATTCAAACATATCGAGGAGATTCCCGTTTCCGGGAAATAGCAACTGGTTACGGACTATTCCAGCATCTTGTGGAACACCATCTAGTGATAAAGGATCTCTATTAGAGGCGTTGGTAAAGAGGATTGGGGGAGTGACAACGCAGAATTCCTCCCTAGATGATGATCAGACGAGTGGTACGAGAGATTTATCTTCCGCTGTGAGTCTACAAGATTCTGCCTGTGAAATTTTGGAAAGCTCACAGCAGATGACGGAAGAAGAGAAGGCCAAAATAAAGAATGTTCTGGACAGGGTGAAACAAGTGGAAACCATTGAGGCCAGACGAATATCGTGAGTTGAAAGGATAGTTTTGATTTTGTTATTTGTGAAATATGTTCAATTTTCAATGTCGTATTTAATTACGCACCAAAATAATATGAAAATGCTAATTTCCCTTTGATCACTTGAAAAATATTAGAATTTTTAATTTGGACTCGCTTAATTTTTTTTAAATTTTTCGATAGATTTCCATAGTTCTGAAATGCTAAGAAGCAACCGATTTAAAGTTAAATTAGTGTTTTACATTCTTGTAATTAATATCAATTACGTTATTTCTCTTCAGCTCACAAGTAAACTAAGATTTATATACCTCCGAAAAAATTAGACTTTTCGTTAAAGATATTTTACGCCTAGACTTCGCAAAAAAAAATATCGAAGTGGTTCCAATCGATTCTCTGATTAAGATGGAGGAAAGCTGATTGGTGATATACTTATTAGCATAACTTTTTACTGTTTTAGAAATTCCCTTTCTGTGCAGAAGTCAATACATCTTTCAATGTCTTTTAATTAGCCAATGAAATCGAAGTATTAAATTATTTCCTTTTTGTTTATTACTTAATTTATAATTAATACTACCACCCACACTATTCCCCGGCTGGTCGTTTTCTCAAATTTCGCTATATGTACAACAATAAATGCTAAATAATGGAATAAATATGGTTACCCGATTTGGCAACTCTGTTATCTATCTTGAACCTGATCTTGATCTGTTAACATTAGTGCCCTCCTGTTCAGACGAAATGATAACAAATGATCGATATGTCATATAAAACTACTCGACAGTTTTGATCGACTTAATTTAATCAGTAAAAAACTCAATTAAGCTGCTTAAAAATTTGGTGAATGAAAGGTAAGCTTGCCTACTGCAACACTTAATAGCCATTAGTGAAATTGTTAAAGATTCTCGAAACGAATTTAATTTTGCTTCTAACGTTTCATTTACACGTAAAGATTTCTTTAAAATACAATCTCTGAAAGTAATACATATTGTTATTAGTGTTACAAGCTTTAACATCTTAATTCGCTAATTTCTAGGGGTAGATAATATTGATTTGTTATTAATGGATGAGAGGAAACGCTAATTTAAACAAAGGATAATCCCAAGCAAACAAGCGATGTCTGAGACGGCTTGTCGGGGGTTCTAAATTTTACTATCTATTGTTAATATTAAGCCAAGTAAACTCCATTTTTTTCTATTATTTGTAACCATTACTTTAAATATTTTTTAATCTACTAATATTGATGGTCATTATTTACATTTCAGTTACAAAATGGACGTATATTGAAATCGGCTTCTATTAGGCACGTAGGTATGTGTGCCAAGTATCACAGCGGGTTTAATGCATTTCTGCAATCTCAAAGCAACCCATCTAGCAAAGATCAGCAAAACTGCTAATTTTTTTCACTTCGATAGGCGTTTGTTTAATAAGAGAATCAAGATAGAGTTCTTCTAAATTGATTAGCAGGCTGATGTAATTAAAAAGGTGTTCTTCTCCTATTTCCCCTGCACTCTTTACAATCATCTAAAATCTTATTCAAATTCCCGCTAACTGAAAGATAAAGGCTACAAATTCGTTGGAAAGTACAGCATATCATGACCAAACTTCCCAGAAATACTGTGAACAAATTTTGACGTAGGAATTGTGCAAAGCGAATCACTAACTATCAATGTTTTTGCTAATTTGGAACAAAAGATTATGAAATGACGATGAATCCTTTCAAACCTCGACCTTTTTTAAAATATAATTTTTAATTTACTTCTTTGTTACACTAATGGATCTCTTTATTATATTTTAATTTAGGTTTTTCACGCATTTACATGATTTCCGTCAACATTTTTTGTATTTCCGCGAGTTTCATTAATAGACAACGCAGAACGTTGTTATTTTTTAATTTTTTAATTTGGTTCATTATAGTATCATTTTCTTATTATCATGAATTCGGTATTGAGAGAAGCTTCCACTTTTTAAATCATGACTGGTTTATAAAAGTTAATGGACATATTTATATATTTTTTAGACTCTCAGAGTGAATTCTGTGTTTTCAACTTGTCTATTGGCAATTCAGTGAAAAATGATTTCACAAAGTGCTATTACAAATCAATTAGTCGGGATAACCGTTCTTGTCAATAATTTGTTTGAATTTAAATAAATATTTAATTAGATACAAATAGTATTTTAAAACCCCACGCTAAATTTTAGAGAACTCCACAAAAGTCAGAGTAATTATATATTTCGCAAGGAAAATTATACAATTCCATGGGTCATTTTGTAGGAATGTAAATATATTGAAGAAAGCAAATCGACAATTATATGAGACTAATGGTTGTAATGATTTGAAAATTTTAGGCTTTAACATAATGCAAACGATCACAGTTTTCATTGCTATTGTCCTCCTTAACGATTTTAAACTATATGAATGAATGTTTTTAATCATAAATTTCAAAATAATAAGCCTCAAAATACATAATCTAGATATTTAGTCAATAAGAAATCAATTCTAAATAAATGAAATAATTTTTTGCGCTTTTAGTCACTGACTTAAAACCAAGATAAGTTTGTTAAATTAATAATTTAATTGGTAATTTCTTACTGATTTTATTGACTTTTAAATTATTTTAATTACTTTTGTAGCATTTAGCAGACGTATCACTAATTTATAAATTAAAATGTTGATTATTGCATCTATTTAATGCCATCAAAAACTTTACGTAATATTCTTACGAATTATGCTTTGAAGTATGTTGAAATTAGTCGCTTATGTCTCATCGACCTCACCTATTAGTGCTCATTAAAACAAAAATTAATTGCTTGTGTACATTTTCTAACTTTCTTTTCAATTTGACTGAAATGATCTGGGTACTAGTCAAGTAATAAAAAAATTGTCATTTATCTCTTTTTTTACCATAACTAATTGTAATCTACAGCTATCAGGACAAATTTTTACTAATCTAATAGCATCAAAGTAACTGAATAGAAGATTTGACTTATTTCATTTTTTAATATGTTTGCAGATCATTCACTTTACTTATTCACCATTCGAAATTAAATTTGACGTTTTTTAGGGTCTACTAATCGCATATTTTATTAGTACTCCTCGATACCTATTGTCCGAATTTGTTTAACTATGGTTGTCTGTCTTGCAATCAAATTCAAAACTTAGCCACATGGCGAACATATTATTTTCTTCCATAAGTTTAGGCTGGTTTTATTCTTGATAATTTAAGGTGACCCTCAAGATTCGCTCATTCCCATTGTTCCCAGTTGCGTCAAAATTTGTGATGGAATTCGCATAGAAAATGGTCCATGAGTACGTGGTTCTAAGCGAATTTCGATTGAGTTTCAGTAGCAGTATTTTTCCAGTTCTAGGAGATCACAATTATATGGTATTGATGACAAACATGAGATAAAGCTTTTATTTTAAAATGAACTCACTGCCAAATTTATACTATTAAATAAGGTGATTGTTAAACCGGCCGTTTCTAGACGGTTTCCCAATAATTCAAGAATTTGAAGACAACTTTAAAATGTTTAATATCATCCGTACATTCATTTATAAATAATTAAAATAATAATTTAATTACTAATAATAATTTAAATAATGTTCTTTTGTCTTCATGAAAAACATTTCATTCAATGTTATATTAAAAAACTCTTTAGCCATTGTTCTATTTTAAAATTCCTAGACCTTTAAGTTCTTAACGTATTTGTTGGTATTCTGTGACAAAACCTTTTTTTAACATTTCAATCAGCCGAACTGATATAAATCGCAAATTTAAAACAAAATTGATCAAAGTTTCGTTCTAAAACCATAATAATGCAAAAATACCAATTTGCCTATTTTTTAAATTTGAAGTTAAATTAATTTCAGCTCAAATTCAGTCAATTTAATTGCCAAATTGAATTTGCAGATTGTTTCGTCAATTAGCGGGATCAATTCCTGAGAGAATTTCCTGTGTGTTTTTGGAATGACTACAAATGTTCCCGCTTAATTTCGCTCCCATTGCGAATGCCGCAATTTTGAGTAACACTTGTGAAAGATCATTACGGTTAGAAATGAGTCCCAGTGATTTGAGCGGTAAACAATGGCACACTTTCTGGAAATGGAAACAGTATCCTTCCGGAAAATATTCCAGAAAAGCAATTTTAAATTCTATGAAATAATCTCAGAGCTAGATAATTAAAAAAACAATTATATTTTCAGGAGTGTAAAGAGAGAGAATGAGCGTTTAGTTATGACATGTCTTGAATGCTAAGTAAATATGCAGACAACGTTTAACCCCTCAATAAAAAAATAATTGATAGTTCTCCCCAATTCAGCGAATATTTTGATCGGAATAAGTAATTTGATAGGTAAAATAAAACACTGCTTTATTAGGAGAACATAAAGTGAATTTTTAGGGTAAATATGCCTTAACTACATCTTAAATTGATGCAAACCATAAAGTAGGCAGCGTAACTTTTTTAATGTTTAATTATTATCAATTTAATAAAATAACGAAATGTTGACAATGAATTCGAATTGTTCAAAACGAAGCTGTGGAAAGGGTATTGAGCTTTTTGGTCTCTGTTTGGGTCTGGGTCAGGTATGTATTCAGGTGTCTTGAGAGCATTTTGTTAAAACTTCATTTTGAAGGCAATTGATTCGTGGTTTAAATTGTATAGGGCAATTTATTAAGCCACTTATGGTGGTTAATCTCATTTCTCTCTCAAAAAATCTGAGCAATTTTATAGTGGTGTGCTAGCGCTAATCTATATTTGGAGTTATATAGGCCTTTCGGGAATTTTTTTAAGTGCCCGAGTTATGAAAATCTCACAAGAATAGCCTGACAGAATTCATCTATTGAAGCAGGTAATGTTCTTTTAAATTTCGACACTATTTGCTTTCATGCCTTCTACACCTGTTTCTTGATTCACATGGTACCATACATTCCAAATGACATAGATGAAGCTATTCAGTACTCACACAACAAAAGTTAACCTAAAGGTGGATAATTAGCTTGATAGGTGAGAAGTG